ATGATCCACAAGCCGAAGGCATGGCCCCCCTCCCACCTCGGCAGCATCGCCCCCTCGCCCCCGCCGGTCGGGAATTCCCTCTGCAGCTGGTTCAGAAGTTGGCCCGCTGGACTGCCCGGATAGTAGTGACTGATGAACGTGGTTGTCATGCCAAACCGCTGGCGCAGCTTGGCCGGCAAACTGCCCACAGGCACATCCATGACCTTGTGGAGCGTGTCGACAAAGATGATGCGCGCCAGCTCGCCGAGATACCTACCCGCTGTCATGTACTCGAGGGGCTGGAAGCCGGGTGCCTCGCCCGCCCGATCAAGCTGCTCGTCCCAGTGGGTGACAAAGCCGAAGTTGCGCAGCGGAGGTGCCGAGCCGTTGATGCTCCACTCGGTGTTCACGGCGATCTTGACATCGGCCCCGTCTTGCCCGTCCAGCACACTGATGGCGCCGGGCCACTTGCTTGGGTGCAGGCTGCTGAGCTTGAGGGGGATGGTGGCGTTACAGCCGGTGCCGACAATGAGGCCCATAACGGCCTTTTGGTCAGGCTCGGCTGGGAACTGATAAACAAACGAAACGAGCGTAGCGACGGCGTCGTTGGAGATGGCGGCAATCTTGATGTGGGGCATGTCTGGGGCCCTGTGCTTCTCATAGCCCTTCATCAGGTGGTCTCCCAGATCCAAGCTGGACGTGATAGCAAAGCCCTTGCCCATTGGCATGAGTGTTGCTTCGGAGAGCGAATTCTGCTTCATGGGGAAGCTGAAGGTGACGCCCATAGGCAGCTCGTCGCCGGGGGTCAGCATGAAGAGTTCGCAACCCCTGCGCACGACCTGGGCCACCCGATTGCCAACCCAGGAAAACAGGTTCTCGGGGTTCTCGTTCTTCAGGTGGTCCTGGATAGGCCATGAGTGCTCGAGATGACGCTTCAGCCGACGGGCGCCTTGGCCCGTCCCTTGCGAATCGACACTCGCCTCGGAGGATATCGAGTAATCGGAACCGCCCAACAGCTCAATAAAGGCCACTCGCAGATTCGTCCCACCGCTACCCCCGACATCAGAAGCTGTGTGAGCGGTGACAGAGCGGACATGACTTACATGTCTATAGCAAGGAAGCTGGGCGTCCCCGTCGAGTCAGCGCCACGTTTGCACAAAGACTGGGATGCCTCACCAGGAGGAAGCCGCCGACTTACCGTCCGCGGGAAGAGGCCGCTGCCTGTCTCAATATCGACTCTGAGATGGGCGTGGGCAGGAATTGGGACAGTGACTGAGCTGAGAGATGCTTGAAGGTGAGGGCGAGTTCCTGCGAGAGGCTGACCACGGACCCAAACTCGAAGGAAAGCGGCTTTAGGAAAGCGCGGAGATCAGGCGGAGGCGCCGCCATTGCGCTGGAAACAGACAAAGTCTAGGAAACCTGGTAAATGTGTCAATATTGTACCTGCCCGCCCGTCGTGGCATGGTGGGTTGAACGGAAAGCGAGAGTCGGGGAGCTGGAGCTGGAGCTGGAACTGAGGGCTGAAGCGACCAAACCGGTCAGGCGTTTGATTCGGAGCCCAGCAAGCAGCAAGAGCGCAGAGAGCGAGTGAGGTGCGTTATAATAGGCGGCTCATGCGTCGTCGAGCATGGCCTGAGCCTGAATCGTCGAGGCCGTCGGAGGTGTATTAAAAAGGACAGACATTGCCGTCCAATCCGTCAGGAACGCGCACTTCTTTTCATCTCGAGAGCTCAATGTCACGTATCATTGATTCTAGGGAGCCAATCCCGGTCACAAAAAGCCGCCGGATCCCAGCGGGACGGGTGTGCTGTGGGCGATCGTCGCCGTCTGCGTGAGACGCTAGCTTGGCTAGCTACCGCACAGAGCTCCTGCCGGCACCGCACCTGGCCATGTCTTTTGCGTACAGAGAATTGGCTTACACCAGGAACGTTACCAGAAGCAAAGACACGACACCATCGCAAAAGAAGCTGAAAAACTAGCGGAAAATAGAAAAGACCAAGCCTGTGCGGCAGGAATCAAAACTTTCCGCACAGCATCTAGCGACAAGGCTGCGGCCGCTGCGATTGGTGATTATTTTCCTGGCGAGCCGTTCTAGAAGCAGGAAGGGGTGTCGGCCTCTTTATTCTGTAGCCAGCCACAGGGTGCCAGCGCCAGTTGCCCCGCAAAACGCGCCATCATGATTATTGATGGAATGCTCGCCAGCTTCGGTATTTCTTCCGTTGGCGCGAGTCGAAACAACCATCCTTCACAACGGGGCCAAGGAATATCTCTCGTCTTTGTCGCCCAACGTTGCTCCCGTCCATCCGTCCCGCAGAATAACCCGTAATCCGCACCCCCACACCCTCGAGGCTGACGACGCCATCGGCTTTGGATAGTATCGCGTATCGTGTATTAGATCATCAGCCTTGCACAGCGCAGCAGCAGAGCAGTTACCAGACGCGGTGATGGACGAGAAACAGCCGCGCTCCATGTCGCCTCTTCGGGGCCCCCTCCCTACCCGTCGCAGCCGGCCTCTGCTGGTCCTCACACTCGCCGCGCTAGGCTTGTATGGCTACTTTCACATCCAGGCGCTGTCCCGGTTCGGCTTCGCTGGAGACCGATGGGACAGCAGGGCACATTCCCTGCCATTGCCGCACCCCGCGGCCACCGTCGTTCCGCTCGAAGCGCACATCATGAGCAAATGTCCCGATGCCAGGGTAAGCGGCCGCTGTCAGGTCCCAGCGCTATGGTTGTCCGGAGTACTGACTAGGACTGTTTTCTAGGACTGCTTGCGCGAACTTGTCCTGCCAACAATGCAGAAGGTTCACGACAAGGTCAACTTCACATTATCCTACATCGGACGGTAGGGATTATCCGCAATGATACCACTAGCGGTCCCACGCTGACCTGCCAAACAGCCCGACGGAGAATGATGGTGTTCAATGCATGCATGGCCCAGAGGAGTGTAAGCCGCGGCAACACAGCTAGAGCAGGGCAGCGTAACTGACATGATCTTAGGCCTCGGCAACATCATCGAGCTCTGCGCCCAGAAGCTATACCCCGACCCCAAGACATTCCTAGGCTTCACCATGTGCCTAACCAAGGACTACAAGCAAATCCCACAGCGCAGTCTGGTGGAGGACTGCGCGCTGGAACACGCCATCGACTTCAACGAGCTCAACAACTGCGCCACGAGGGACGACGGCGCATATGGCGTGGGTATGCTGAGAGATAGCGTGCGGAGGAGCTCAAGCGTACGCAGTTTTCGTTCCCCAGACCGGAGTACGTTTACTAACACTGCGATGCGCAGGCTGGCGTGACCAAGAGCTGCACCGTGCGGCTCGACAACAAGATTTACTGCATACGAGACGGCGGAAAGTGGACAGACTGCCCGGCTGGCGCCGAGGTCAACGACCTGGTCATTGCGATTGAGAAGCTGTACCGGCCTTCTGCTGTTCCTCCCTCTTGAGAGGCTCAAAAACGTCGACCCAGAGGTCGCTCGCCTCGCCTAGTGTATAGCATAATGTAACGCTGTCCATACCCGCTTCGTCATCCCCGCGCATGTTCTCGAGCTGCTCAATGATGCTGTCGAGCCCGACCGCCTTGCCCGTGGCCTGTGTCGCGCCGGCTTCGAGCTGAACGTGCACAATGTGGATGTGGAAGTGGTAGTAAGTTGGCTGGTAGTGCACGTAGAGCTTGAGCTGGTCTGCTTCAAGGGTCGGGTACACGCTGATCGTGGCCTCGATGAACTTGGCCTTCATGTGGCGCAGCCAGGGGATGTGCTTGCGGCGCAGGTCGCGCAGGCTCCAGATGTCGCGGCGCTCCACGAGGCCAAGTAGGTGGAGCGCATCGACCGTCTTGCGGTCCCAGTTGAGGTCGGGCAGTAGCAGGAAGCCCTCGTCGCCCTCGGACTGCCCAAACGGCGTCCGGTAGATGACGTCCTCCACCTCGGACCGGCCCTCGATGATGTTGAAGGCCCAGTTCAGCCGCCCTGCCGCCCGCTGCGCCGCCATGAACGGGCGCACTCGGTCGCGGTACGTCGCAGGCGTTTCATTGACGAAGCGGACCCCTTGCTTGCTGTACTTTTTGATGTGCTTTTCCGTGCATGGATAGATGAGGTTGATTTTCAGGTCGGCGAAGGCGCTGTCGGATGTCTCGTTGCCTCCTTGTGCAGTGTTACTCTCAAGGTTTATTTCGCCGCTGTTGGCTAGGTACCAGTGGTACACATCGTTGGCGCCCAGGTTTTTGAGTGCTCGAAGGCTGCCGGGGACAGCGCCGAGGTAGTCGGTCGAACTGGGAAAGGGCGCGCGCTCGAGGATCAGGAGGGCTGGTTGCGAGTCGATTGTGCCGCAGAGAGAGGTTCGGCGGCCAGCCTGGTCTGCGTAGGGGTAAGATAGGTAAGATAGGGGTTCTGCGATGTACCCTCCAAGGGACCGAAGGAGAGGATTGACGAACCTTGGTTGAGCAGCCGCTCGAACTTGAATTTGGGGACGAGGGACTCGGCATTGGCTTTGATTTCAGTCATGGTGGTTTTCTCTGGGGTCTGGAGAAAACTGGGGAACAAAAAGTGACGGGAGAACAGGAAACACCAAGCGCCTTCTGTCTTTGCTTCTCGTGATGGTGTTTGTGTTAGGCGTCAGCTATACCCCGCAGCCTGCAATCGCAGCAGTTCTAAATTTCCCCCGCGGGTGCCGCAACCCGAAACACTAGCCTCAAGCTCTGTGGTGTGTGGCTTGCTGCTTCGCACCTACCCTGGAGACGTGGTGGTGGTAGTGTTGACTTTCGTGGTGATGGCGGGTATTGTCAAGCGATTACTAGGTGCGACTTCCATGCGTTGCGAGCCGGGCCAAAGAAGGAAGGAACAGAATGCCAGCGCCCCTATTCCATCAAACCTCTATCTCTGGCATCGCGATGCGAGTAAAACTGCAAGGCAAACCCGATCCTATTCATCGCAAAAAACCGCTCTAATTCGAAAAGCACAAGCACACGCTATAGCAAGCGATTCCAGTGGCTTCCTCCAACAAAGCAATATCTCGATATTAGACAATGTGGCCGAGTGGTTAAGGCGCTGTGTTTAGGTTGTTGGACTTCAACTATAATACCGCAGTGGGAAACCGCGCGAGTTCGAATCTCGTCATTGTCAAACGACCTTTTTGCTGCGCTGGCGGGGGAGCCCAAAGTGGGCAGTGGTGGGCTGTTTTGGAGGCGTAGGGCATGGTTGGGTTGATAGCTTGTCTTGGAAGCCTTGAAAGGGGAGCCTGGAAAGGGGAGCACTTCAACACCATGGCCAACTGCCGAGAACGCCCCTATTCCATAGTGACACGGTAGGGAACCTGACAAAGTAGCTGGATAACGCGCTACCAGTGCCAAAGTTTTTGGGAAAATGCTCCCTGATACTGAAGAAAGGGGTTCAGGCCAGGCCAGAACCTACTGAAACTCCCAGACTCCATAATAAGATGACGCTCTATGTGTTTTTGAAACTATCGATGATACCCCATGTCAATGAAGACCTTAAGGTTATGAACAAACACTTGAACCGAGAGGAGCACAAGCTGGCCCAGAACCATATATTTATCACTGAAATTGCTGCATACACACACCAAGCCCGTAATTACGTCCCCTATCAACATGTTTTCCTCCTTTTACCATTTGCCCGCCGTCTGATCTTGTGTCATCATGGCATATCATCGTCATTACCCACCTCTTCTAGATATAGTATCCAAGTCTCGTTTTCCACTTTCAGAATAGACACATCTGGCATGAGCGCGCTCGCTGAACTCCATTTCCTACCTTAGCACTCAGAATGCCTTTGCCTCCGCTAACCCAAAATATTTCCCATTCATGTTTGTTTTGGTTTTGCTGAAAGTCAAACTCCGGTGCTATGCCTGCTAAATGCCTCCCTGAAGACGAAAAATAATAGCCAGCCATTACCACCATCTTTTGGTGCCTCTGCCCGTGTCCCCTCCTTAACCAACCTGCAGCTTCCGGCGGAATGACGGCATCGCCGTGGGGTGGCACTAGAGCTTGCATCTAGGAATGCTGTCGTGGTCGGCCACTCCCTTGCATCGCGTGTTGGGTAAAGGCGACCAACCCCCCATCAAGCATGGAACGAGTGTTTGTCGTCCGTCAGCTAGGGGTTGCCGCGGGACGGACCTGGCCGTCGTTGTCGCCTTTTGTGACGACAAACTGACCCCCTCGGCCCAGGCCAGTAATCTTTTCCCGGACACGACGATTATCAACTCTGCCGCAGCCCACCAGTGGATTGGCGTACCCGCCGGAATCGGCCTCGCCCCCCCTCAAGCCCGCACGTGGTCCGCTGCTCATTCCCAATCCTCTCGGGGCAACGATCCCACTCATGTCATCATACGGGTGCTCTTGTATACCAACTTGGGCTCCTCGGCCTCCATATCCTCAACCCCCTCGTCCACCTCCAGCTGGTTGCTCGCGCTTATAATCGGATTCCCCCCGCCCTCCTTGCCTGCGCCCGCCTGCGCTGCCACCAGCCCTGACGACGGGCCCTTACGCATGCTCTGCGGCCGGTAGCTCCGTCCGCGCATCTCCTCCTCAGCCGCCTTGAGCGTCTCGGGCTCCTCCTTCTTGACGCGCTCCATCTCGCGGTCCGCCAGCTCCAGCGTCTCGGCCATCCGCCGCTGGATGTTGCACACCTCCTCGCCGCAGTCGCCGTCCCGCAGGAACTGGTGCGCCGCGTGCTCGCACATGCTTTGCACGTACTCGAGCCCCTTGTCGAGGTCGTCGTACACGTCTGGCACTAGGGCCCCCCCCGGAAATCCGCCAGGGCCCCCGCGGCTATACCGCCCGCCTGCCCCGCCGCGCGGGTACAGAGCCCGCCCGAGCGCAGATTGCGCCATGTACAGGTTGGTCGAGCCCGTCATGGGCTGCATGCGGCGGGTGCTGACGTAAGGCAGGATCGGAATCTCCTCCTCGGCGTTGACGTCCTTTGCCGACGAGCTGGCCTCGATCGCGGCGGTACCGTCGGCTGCCAACAGCGGAGCCGGAGTGAGCGAGGCGGATACCATGGGTAGCGCGGATGTGGTGGCAGTCCCAAGTCCGGAATCGACTTCTAGCCCTATCGCGTCAATCTTCTCTTCCTCCTCATCGCTCTGGTCAGGCATCTCAAGCTCGGCCAGTCGCTTAATCTGCGCCACCTTGGCTGCCATTTTGGCCTTGCGCATCATGTTGCGGCTAGCGCTGACGAACTTGACAAGCTCCTCGAAGAAGCTCTGGACATAACTATCGTAGTATACGATAATCATACTGCGCGTGCGGTACTTGGGCGCGGCGCCCTCGGCGCTGACGACCGAATCTGTGCGCTGGCGCTTGCGAAGTGTTGCCCGTGCCCGCGCCTGTCCGGCGGCCCGCATTTGGTTCGCCTGCCGTGCGATCGCCGAGGGTGATTGCGAGTCGGCAGGGCTGGGCGGCGCCGGCTGTTCGCCGGCCGGCGGGTTGCCGGTCGCTGCCGTGTCATTGGTAAGTTCGGGCTGTGGTGTTGATTCGCGGGGTTGCGCCTCGGGTTCATCATGTGGCCTGAGAGACTCGGTTGATCCCTTGTTTCTTATCGACCTTGCCGGTGCGGCTCCGGAGGCGGATGCCGATTTCGCTGCAGTCAGTTTTGCCAGCTCAACTTGGCGCTGGGCGATTTGGCCATTTAGCTCATCGAGCCTCTTTTGCCAATCCGGTATATTTGCCGTCAGGCTCTTGAGTGCCTCCATGGTGAGGTCTTCCTCCCCTCCGCCAAGTGCCGATGTCCTCCTGAAGCTGGCCGTCTTGAACACTTGCTGCGTCCGTCGCTAGGCCGGGTCGCACCTAACGCGGGACGTCTTGGGAATACTCGGTAATGTGGGGCGAGAGCACCGGCGGGGAGATGGCAGCTCAAAGACCTGAGCTCAAAGTCCCATCGGGTAGCGCAAATCGAATCGGGGTATTTGTTTGAGGTAAGTTGGGCGGCGACGGACTGGGGAAAAGGGCGATCGGTCGGGCGTCGAAAATGGGAGGGGGGTTTCAAAACAGCGCTGACATGATCGAGATCACAATGCCCCTCGAGTTGTTGACATTGGCTTACAAAGGCCGATCACGCTAGACCAGGTGCCTAAACACAGGGGGACAGTGGCGGGTTGGTGCCTGTCGGGTCCCGAACTTTACGGACCAGGTGATTTCCAATACGGAAAATGGTCGCGAAGAAGCTGGTGTTTCGATAATTTTGGGGGAACGGCACAGGAGGGTTTCTTTGTATTGTAGTACTGTTTGGGAGTGGTAGCAGCTCGCAGTGGCCGTGTGCGGAACGGGTCCAGGGTCTATGTAGTGAGGTAGCGTCGTCGCGTGGGGAGTGGGACTTTCACTTGTGGTCAGGGAACGGGTGGGTTTGATCCGCGCCTAGGCGAGGAGCACTCCCGCTCTCCCAGGATGTCCTTGGCTGTCTGGCTGTCCGGCTCACGCCTGCCTTGCGCAGGCCTCGGCGCCCAAAAAAAAGCAAGCCCCTTCACGGAAAAGGGCAAAGCAGTAAAATCTATATGGTGACGATCGGCCGTACAAATCTCGGGGCGTGGTTGTCGACGATCTAGACATCAAACCGACAACTAACTGGTGTTTGGAAGCGCAGAAAGAGGTAAAAAAGAGCGTCGTGATTAGTCGAGATCAGCGAAATGGACTTGGTCTGCACCTGTCTGCATAAAACACCTGCCCGCCCAACCGCCTTCTTGCTTCTTCCTCGCACGCTTGCTGCTGGCTCGCAGGACACAACTGGAGCGAGTGCGGACTCCCATGTCTTGGTACTGCACCTCTTGCATGTCGATCACGGGGAGTTCAGAGGCGGACGTTGCCTTTGCTCTTATTAAAGCACTGTATTATTGCTGCTTTCGGCTGCCCCGCGAGAGGGTAATGCGGCAGGTGTACGTGCGTGTCGTCTCTCTCCAGGGTAGTATAGTGTACGTCCCGCAGTATACTTGTCCACGTATGCATATATTCCCACGCCCGCGAAGGCGACCTGGGCGTCAACGCGTTGTTGTACCGGCTGTCAGATGCTAGCCATCACCTAATATTGCCCAATTTTGGTCACTCTTCGGTAACAAGGAGCCCGTGTTGAAGCGGAGAAGTCCAAGGTTGCGAATGAATTGTGCGTCTAGCCAGGGTGACAAGGGCTGGCCACGCGCGACTCTCAGGGATCTGAGGAGGCGAGCGGGGGTCAAAGCCGCGCAAGGCGAAGAGGAGTGTGGTTAGCTTGTCGAGGTGTCAAGCTGCCTGCGGCGGGGGCGTCATCCCTGACCTGGCGTTGCCATGTCCGCCCTGTGCTTTACCATACGGAAACGTCCCGCTTATTTGTTTTGGAGATTTGTGATATCGATCGGACAAGTAGGGTAATCAACCGGCCACCCAGGGCAGAGCGAACAACACCAAAAGGATAGAACTCTTGACACTGACGATGATGGACAGCCTCCCCGCTGTGATGGACGGTACATATGTTCTGCGGAGGCGGGGACGGAGACGCTTCGCCGCAGCCAACCGGCAAGATGTGGATGCCCTCATCTGCTACCGCACGGCCTTGTTTTGGGGTAGCCTTGCCTTTGGCCTGCATCGGGGGTTGTACTCCAAGCAGATCGGGTCTGTGAGGCGTCAACGCGATGCGACTTTTCGGCTCAATATTCTTACAGGCGCGTAGTGTATGAGCGTGCTGCTACCTGCTACCCTGCACTGTCTCACTCTCTTGCGGATCCTCGACAACCTCAAAGCCCCTCCCCGCCCGCCTCCTGCTCCCGCCAACTCCCGTTCGGTGGCTGCAGCCGCAGTCACGGTTAGTACACAGAAAACATAGCGTGAGCGTCGACACGACACATCATATAATGCCGTGTAGCAGTGGCATTTCAGGATCAGGTGCGCTCGACAGTTTGTGCTGTACATACCTTACATCCATACAACTGTTGGTCGGTATGCGCAGGACAGCCCCCGATGGCAAGCTACGAGGTGCAGGGCAGATGTTGAGGGTGAGTGAGCATTGGTCGAAGCCAAGCTCACGGGAGGGTTTGAGGATGCAAAACGTCAGCAAGACCGTGGAGGTCCCATTGCCTATTGTAACCTTTCATGCTCTCGGTCTTTTCTGTTACAGCTTCTCAGGCGACATAAGCGAAGGAT